CTGCAATAAACATAGGGTCTGTTTCTCACTAGAGTTTATGCCTTTTAACTTTTCCTTAGTGAGTTGACAACTTATTATTCAAAAGCTTTCGAGATGGTAAACTGCATTCTCGTATTCATGCAGATTTGCATGTAGTTTGCTTCGACAGGGCATGAAGCAAATATGTATAACGGCAATGAATACAGATGCATTAGTTGCCCAGGATCCCAAGAAGGTAAAATTGTCTGCATGAAAGAATGTGGAGTATTATTATAGAAATTACTTTGATTTATCTATGAAATATTTTCTTTTTTGTGCTTAGGCTGTAAAGGAGAATATCTTGTTGCAAATTTCGAAAGCGACCCAAATGGTCAAGTTAGAAAAAGATCCACTTGCTGCATTTGCCTTGATCATTGATGGGAAAACTCTAACTTATGCTCTAGAGGAAGACATGAAGCATCAATTTTTGTATTTGGCAATTGATTGTGCATCTGTCATATGCTGCAGGGTCTCACCCAAACAGAAAGCTATGGTCAGAAACATTTTGTTGGTTTAATTACAAATTTTACTTCTAATGTTCAAATTTCAATCTAACTGAAAAAGGAAAAACAAATAGAACCAATACCTCTAGTTATTTAGAAAAGTTATACTCTCAAGAGGGTTGGTGTTTGGTAAAGTAACTACAAACCTTAGTGTAATGTTATGTCAAAAAATAATTGGTTGCCACTAAGCTAAACCTCTGGTATTTTTTTATGATCTGCCCTATCTGCTGTAGTTACTTCATGAACTTCACTTCACGCATTCTGTTTGGTAACCAGGTAACAAGATTAGTGAAAGAAGGAACTGGGAAAACCACGTTAGCAATTGGTGATGGTGCAAATGATGTTGGCATGATCCAAGAAGCAGATATTGGTGTTGGGATTAGCGGGTGTGAAGGCATGCAGGTTGGTAAAATCTTTACCATTTCAGTAACTTAATGCATTTATGACCTTACAGCCTACAGGGGTTTTCTGTGATAGTATGATGTCTTCTTCTTGACCTGCTTTCCAATCGATGAATGATGACTGCATGTGGTTCTTAGTTTGGTAATTTATGTTAAAAGGTTTCCGTCCGGGGTGGTATTTTTAATCCTATAATAATGTAATAATTTACTCTGGATAGGATTACTTCCTTTTCCAATTTTAGTTCAGCATATTGTCTAGTAACTGGTAAGTAAAATGGTTTGGCAAATTAAGATTTCCTGGCAATTCTATATATTCCTGACCTAAAGCCCGATAACTAATCCAACTCGGACAACTTTTATACTTTGTTATATTAACTGAAATTTGGAACAAATGGCCATCACAAAGTACAGACTACATCCATGTTTCTTAGGGATTTATGGCTAGTCTTGCTAGGAGAAGTTAATTTTTAAGTTTGTAAAATTTGGTTTTCAGGTGCCAGAATTACCTTTTGTAGACTTGTTAACTTACTACTTCCTCAATAGTACTTATGTACTTGCAGAACATCTTTGTGACCACATACTGCTTTAATATGATAAAAAAACTGTCCAACTTAATATTTGCTGTTTGCAGGCTGTGATGGCTAGCGACTTTGCTATTGCACAGTTTCGGTTTCTCGAGAGACTTTTGGTTGTGCATGGGCATTGGTGTTACAAAAGAATTGCTCAGATGGTAATTCTTTTATGATTTAAAAAATTGAAAATACTCTAACGATGTTCAGAAAACCATAAAGTGATATAAAAGACACAAATTTTCTTCGGCATATTGATGTCAATTACTGATTCTGATGAAAATACTAAAATTTGATCATTTATAACTTTATATATCCAATTCATAAAATGCAGATATGTTATTTCTTCTACAAAAACATCGCATTTGGCCTTACGATCTTCTACTTCGAAGCCTTTGCCGGTTTTTCTGGACAGTCAGTGTATGTCGATTGGTACATGCTGCTATTCAATGTTGTACTCACTTCATTGCCTGTCATTTCTCTGGGAGTGTTTGAGCAGGATGTAGATTCCGAAGTTTGCTTGCAGGTCAGTTTTCTGGATTTTACCTCAAGATCTTTACAGGGTAAATTACAGAACTTACCATTGAAATTTTGCCTGATAACAAAATAAACCTCTGATTATCTATCCAAATGCAAAATTCCTTAAAATTATTACTTTCAACCCCTCGGGAGTGTAAAGTTTGTGAAGTGAAACTTTCATATGTTAAACTAATGATTACAGAAAGTCAAAAAACACCCATGAGGATTAGCAGAAACTCTAGTTATATGCACAAATTTCAAAACTGCGATTATATCGAAACAAATCTCAAGGACACACCTGCATTTTTTCTGGAAAAATTGCAAAAGTTGGTCCTATAATTTCCCAGGAGCACCGTTTTAAAAAATTTAATTTATATCCGTAGGCTATAAGAGTCCTGAAATACGACATTTTTGTAATTTGGCCCGTTTTCTTAAAGAACAATCGTGAAAGTGCAGTTCCCGGCCCTGTACCAGCAAGGCCCGAAAAACCTATTCTTCGACTGGTACCGCATCTTCGGGTGGATGGGCAACGGGCTGTACACTTCCCTCGTTGTCTTCTTCCTCAACGTCATCATCTTCTACGACCAGGCCTTCCGCTCGGGTGGCCAGACGGCCGACATGATAGCCGTGGGGACCACCATGTTCACCTGTGTCATCTGGGCCGTCAATGCCCAAATTGCCCTCACCATGTCCCACTTCACCTGGATCCAGCACCTCTTCGTCTGGGGCAGCATCGTCTTTTGGTACGTATTCCTTGCTGTCTACGGAGAGCTCGTGTACGCCCTTGACGTCAATGCCTTCCGGATCCTTCTAGAAGTCCTTGCCCCAGCCCCCATATATTGGTCCACCACGCTTTTGGTGACGGTGGCCTGCAACTTACCTTACCTTGCCCACATTTCCTTCCAGAGGTTGTTTAACCCGCTGGACCATCACGTGATCCAGGAGATTAAGTACTACAGGAAGGATATCGAGGACCGGCCCATGTGGCGGGCCGAAAGGAGTAAGGCCCGGCAGGAGACCAAGATTGGGCTGACCGCTAGGGTGGATGCCAAGATTACCCAGCTCAAAGGGAGGCTGCAGAAAAAGTATTCTGCAACACATCAACATACGTGATTTTTTTTTTTTTCTTACCTCGTCCCATTATCGATAGTATAGGTCTTTGACGTTTTGATTATATTTGTACAATTTTTGTTCCTTCTTGATGTAATTCTTGGTTAGGGTATAGATTTTGAGTGAGGTGATGTGA